TATATAAACGTTGCTTGACGCCTATGAAGTGAAATTAATGCGTAATTTAGATGAACATCAATTGAAACGTTTGGTATCGATAATGGTAACTCCTGATAGCGCTATTAAGTATGTAAGTAGATTCAAGTCGTATTTAGGTTAAATTAAGCAAGGCGTATACGAATTGCACATTTCACTTGTTCACACATTTCACTTGTCGAATTGTAAAATTAAATTGGTATTAGGCTATATGCTTCTCAGTAATCCTCTTCTGTTCAATTAATTTAAGCTAATTGACTGCAACACGCAGCGCCTCAATATTATTTTGATTGAATTCATCTGCCTTAGGAAACACTGATACCACTGCTCCTGGTAGTGGGGCGTCCCTAGACAGTAACGAAGATGCAGGTCAGCATAAAATGGTCTTAACGGGCATCGTCTCTTGGGGAGTTGGCTGCGGCCGTAACAGGTTTCCCGGTGTCTATACTCGCATTGAATACTTCACGCCATGGATCATAGCTAACATTCTGCAGTATGGAGAGCAAGAAGATCTACAACAGGTGGGAGGAGGAACAAAAGAAGGCATACACAATTAGCTTACAAACGGCGCGCAATGAATCGCGCGACCTCAAAAAGGCTTTGTTATTCGAGAACTAGATTGAAAGTATTTCATTTGCCTGTTGTCAATACATTTTGAAAGCCTTGATTAAACGATTAAGTGAAGCACTAATAAAATATTTTTTTGAAAACGACTCTTACCACGTTACAGATTTCCATATGATACATCACTATCACATCGAAATCTGCCATAACAGAAAATTAAAAAGTAATGTTCTTCGAGTGGTGTTCTTCGACTAGAATTTAAGTGCGAGTTTATTAAATCGAAACTACTGTCATGCCACAGTTTGTTATTTAGAGAGGACTCCATTTTCAGATAAAGTTCTCGTTGCCTAAATGTATCGTCGTATATAATGGAATGTGTTGGCGTTATCGCTTAGTTACTCCATGTTCTTTTCACCTAATTAATTTATAGTACGTACTTATTATCCAAGTACATCATCTTTTTCTTTTTTGGGCAGATATCGAGTGCAATGACTCCGGAGATGATGCAGGAATATCGGGAAATGGCGAAGCATTTTTTTGGCAAGGACTTCTATGATTCGTCCAACGGGAACGCAAACGAGCAGACCATCAACTCGAACAAATGGAGCATTAGTTCGTTCCTTACTGGCTTTTTTGGCTAATAAAAAGTGCTTTACACTTCCTACAACATTTAGGCGTATGTTGTAGAACGTCACAGAATGACGCTAGAAATTCCAATTCATATTGTCTTTGCTTTGAACATAGCTGGACACGCGCTGTAAAGCTGAAGTGATGTTGTTAACTTCAGAATTTATTAATACCGTTTTAGTAGTAGCTAGATATAAACAAGCCGAATGCAGTCATACAGTTAATGAAACAGAGAGCAGATCTAGAGGCTCTACCAAAAGTAGTTTTGTTTCTCGTACGCGTACATTGTGTCAAGAGAGTGTATACGTCGTCAGTTTTTGGAAAAATACATAAACAGCGGTTTCTGACACGGGAAAAATGCATGTTGAGCAAGGCCTTGTAAATACAACCTGTAGCAAAAATTTGAATAATGACCTGAAATTCGTACTGATTACAAGGTTTTCTTTCGCTTTGCGCAACAGCTAATGCTCAGTACCAGGGCATAGTTAACCCTACTGTTGGGTTAGTAAAGCATTCAACTAACGGCTGTACAGATCTTTACGTGGTGCAGGTCATGTATAGAATGATTATGGTGTTCTGTTTAAAAGAGATTCTGCCAATTCATCATATAAACCGCTCCGACCATAGAATACATGATGCGCTTCCAGAAAACACGAGTAGTAGTCTATTAGGGACATTATGAAATCATTATTCCTCGAATTTAACGTAAAACACTTGACTAGCTTAAGAGATCCCTAAAATTACTTTCGCGATAGGTTTAAAATTTAAATCCTCATTAGCTCCTATAGAAGAATGAATTTAAAATTTTCGCTTGGAATTTGTTCAACGAATTCAATATTGTCAAAGGTGTTCAATGAATTGAATGCGCATTGTGATTTTACGTTATATTTATAGCACAATTCTTAGTTTCCTGGCCCCGTTTTAAATACATGTGCTCATCGAAAGTGCTCACAGGTTTTAAAGAAGAAAACACTTGCAAGACTAGTAAATGATAGAAGTATAGTGTTCGTAGTATTTCTTATTTCAGTACGCATTCTCAACATAGAAGTCAATCTTTTTGTGGGTTTTTGCTGCGCGCAACTCCTCGGGATTCATAACCAAAATGGCCCTCAACTATATACACAACACATAATCCCTGGACGCCTTATTTTAAGGTTCAATGGAGCCAAAATGAGTGCAATTCCTTATAAAACTTGTTTGTTTATCTCAACCTACCCTATATATTAATCATACTGGTGCTTCGCGTTAACTAATAACACAACAAATCAATTATGAAACATTGTTCGATAGTTGTATTGATATACGTTTTATATAAAGTAGCAGGAACCGGGACGCTATATATATATATATATATTGTGAAAGCAAAGCTTCTTGTAGTTAAGTAGACGATGAAGTTAAGAAGCGAACTTGATGAACAAAGATAAAATTAAGAAAGCTTTTGGAATACAGCCTGCATTGAAAGCAACTGATAAACTTTAGTTTGACCAGATAAAACTACATTTAGATGATTTCTTTATAGAAATAAATCCTGAAGTTGATGTAACCTGAATACAACTCTTCGTTAAAATCTTCCTATCTGTTTACCGACGAAACACCATAAATTAATAACATCGAATTCAAATTTTAAATAAAATTTACGGCGTTGTGCTTTCTATAAACGTAACCTATTTCATATCTACAATAAATATATCTTGAAATAAAATTGTAGCCTTTAATAAATTACAACAAATCGCCTCCTTATTGATCATCGCCACCGAATGATTATGCAATTGTATTCCTAGTTTTTTTCTTATTTTACAATCATCCCATCTCCTTCTTAGAATCAGTCCGCATGGCTCTGTTCGCTGCTCTCTATAATTCTGCATCTATGAACTCTTATTTAACATACTCTCATTTTTGTTTAGCACTTCCAGAATTAATCCGTCCAAGAAACTGTCGTGCTCACGTTTCAACTTAAAAATTGGCTACAAGTAAATAATCTTAGGTAGTCTTCTCATTCTATCAATATGCTTTCCAATTCGAAGTCGCCCTACCTCCAATGCTGCCGAGTCGTTCTGATCGAAAGCGCTCTCCAGCAAAGTACACAGGATATCGATATTACTTTCTTTCCTAAAACTTGCTTAGAACCGAAGTCTATACATCTGTCCTCGAATTCTGGTGTACTCGGTTAGGCCTTCTACGGGGCCGACAGCGGCCACAACAGGACACCTGAAAAACAAATATTTTAAGGGGTTGAAACACTAACGAAAATTCTAATATGTCTTTGCCTAAAAATATATACATACACAATAGTGGAAAAATATCTAGTGTACAATTATTGTTATTTTATGCGATGCGTTTCTTTAAAACCTACCAGTGTAACCCGTCGACAGAGCTAAAAATTTCGTCATCAATGATAACGTTTCTCATTTATGACTGAATGAACACGTTCAACCATCATATCAAAATTAGTAGACAACCAACCGGAAACTAGATATATGCATTTCAATCAGAACATTGAAATTTTTATTACCATTGGATATGAGATTGAGCTTAACTTTGCCTACCTGTCATAGATGTAAGTCTGGCAAACATTCCTGATTGTGTCGGCGTCGATGGCATCAATGCGCGCCTCGAGCTCGTGCAGGGGGATCCTTCTTCCATAGCAGAGCATCTGTCGACCGATATCTTCGCAGAGAGGGGTGGTACCATCTAATTGCAACAGAAGGTTGGTTTTCAGTAGGTTCTTCGCCCGGGTTACGTCGCCATCGGTCGCCTGACATCAAATTTACATTGATAGCAGTCTTAACCAAGCTGAACGAATAGAGTAAACGGTTCGTTTTCTCGTGCTTTTTTCTTACACTATCATTGCGCTGTGTATTTATTTGGTGTCCTATGGATGAACATGAACGTAAGGTTTCAAAATTTATTGGCAGGACCATTTTTCCTTAGATCTATGTAAACTAAAGGAAGGCCAAATGTAATTAAAGTAATCCCAGTATAGATCGCTTTTTCGGCTTTAATCGTTAGCACAGAATTTCATATATTTCAAGCTCGGTCTCTCGAGTTTCATTCTGAAATATATGCTATTCAAACCCAGTAGGCTTGATTGACAGCCATTTCCTTCAGTCAATATGGTCTACATGTACTTCTATACCTAGGTCGTTAATCTCACCTCTGTGCAGATACGCATCCATTCTTCTTGAACCGCTATCATAATATCATCGAGGTGCTCGTCGCCATCGGCCACAAAGTATAGGCCCCATAAGCCGGTATCCTTGTAACACGTGTTGAAAGACTGGAACGAATGCATCGACTTGAATGGAACAGATTGTGCCCATGCAGCTAGACGCGATGAGGCGTTGGCTCCGCCACCGTGTGAGCGGTCCCACGATCCAATCATCGTATTAGCAACCATCAACGGAATATTGTCAGCATTTGCCCAGCCAGCGCCCTCGACGGCGATCGCGATGTGTGCGAACGGCATGTCATCGTCACGGACGCGGATGTCTGAGCCAGTGTAACGGCACGGAGCTAGTGTCGGGCATTGAGAGTCCATTGAATTGCTGACTTTTCCAAATGTCTGGAAACGAAACCGCCACAGAACGGCAAAAAAGCAGCAAACTGACGAACGTCACATACTGAATAAATAAGACAAATCGAGGAAATCGTTCTTCATTGTAAATATAAAGAAATAATAGCAAGTGGAAACAAATATTGGGTTGAATCGACTTAAGGCTCTTCTTATATGGGCTATACCTCTTGAGCATATATTCTATACACAAAACTTCAGAAAGAAACTAAGTGCAATTCTAGGTGCAAGCGAAGTCAAAGACATGTCGATCTCGTATGCATACGTAATGGATAAAAAAAACTGTCTAAACAATTAGTCATGATGTTAATTCCGGTTGACTTACAGGAAAACAGCTTTCCTGAGACCAACAAAAAAAAACGATGGCACTTTGCGGCTTACTTGTTCTGCGATCTTCACGAGCTCGTCGTGGTCGACTCCGCCAGCTCCAGCGAGCACAATTCGGGATCCCTTGTAATGTGTATCGATGTAGTCCTTGAGATCCTGCCGCTGAAGGGATTTGATGTTCTCCGTGGGGCCAAGGATCGTTAGACCCAGAGGGGTGCCCTGATATGCTATCGAATGGAGGTGATCGAAAACTACTTCTTGGAGATTGCCTTCAACCTACGCCAAATGTTTACGTTACAAATAAAGTACACAATAAACATCAATTGTATTACAAATCACACAAAGTGAATTCATTACGTAGGCAGAGCAAGGAGTGCACCCAAGGTCAGGCACTCTTTGCTACTGCAGATTTGATTGATGAATAGTAGTAGTCATCAGTAGCACCATTTAGCTAAAACATGAATTTTTACCAGTAGGCAACGATGAGCTCAAACATCTCCTAACGTGCATCTTCTGGGCTATGGATATTTCTAACAATCGCGGCGAAAATTATTTTTAGGAAGAATACAACGTATTCTTAAATTGTATTTCAGTTCATAAAATAGTATACTACCTGTATATCAACTACCTGTGTGAATAGTGTATACTGCAAATAGAACGCGATTTGGTTACACATCAAATTCTGTTCCGCGCATGTTCTTAGTAGGCAGCTTTCTTTTTTTCTCATGACACATAAATATGCAATACAAACCTTTTCTTATTTGCAATTTCGTATCTGATTACTCACCTCTTCCATCTCGCGCAGGATGACACCCCGCTCTCGTTCGATTTCCTGCTCGCCCAATTTCGGGTTCTGTGTTATATCGGCAATAATATCGACGGCACGAGCAAGATCCTAGAGATGTAAACGACAGAAAAAAATATACCTATAGCTTTGGCAACTTTATCATGTCACATCAGGTCGATTTCCGCCACAACGAGTAAACCTATTAAAGTGTTACTTTTCAAACTAGTTCATACCTCTTTTTTTCAGATTTAATATTAAATTTAGGATAATTTTCTCTTCTACTGGCCACTTTAAGCCCACTAAATAAGAACACATTTAGTTAAAAAATTTAAACGTCGACGAAGCTTATACTATAGCCTGCGCCAAAACAGAAATCTTTTGTATCGCTTACTTTCTTCAGGCACTTCGCATAATATACGGTCTGTTCCCTTGAGGTGTAGGCGTTAAGATGCATGCCAGCGTTTTCGACCTCGAGCTCCAAATCCGTTTGACTGCGCTTGCCAGTACCCTGCGTGATGATATCAGAAGAAAACAAACTGAAATCTCGATACAACACCAGGATTTGAAACAGTATTATGGCGACAAAAAGCTTGACCTATTTGACGCTAGCAGCTTAGGAAAACACGTAAGTAAGAAAAGGTAAAAGCAAGCAGAGCTAAGTTCACAGCTAGGTTCCAACATGAGTTGTTGGACGCAAATGCTAGCGGAAGAATTTTGAGATTGATAAATAATTTATTGTTTACCATCCAGTGGACATTGCTTCACTGACCAAGTAGGTACAGGGATGTTTAGCTGACTCGAAGGAATGGATATGATCCAGATTTTTGATTAAAAGGCGTGGAGATTTAACGTAGACATAAATATAATCAGTAGTCATCAATATATAATCGCTGGCTGAAAAATTAGGCCACTAAAAATGGCACAGATTCGATAAATAAATAGATCGATGTCATTTATCGTCACAATAATCGCGTCAACACAGAAACTTTTCAAGGGTTATAAATGAATCTACTCGTTTAAAATAAACAAAATCTTTCCTGATGTTTTATCCCCAAGCTAATTTAGTAATAAGGTTTTCTTTATGCGTTAGAAACTTATGCTTTCAAGCAACGAACTTTTTGTTTATCAAACATCCTTGGCGTTTCAAAATTGTCTAAGCAGTAGCAAGTTTGTCGTTATATAATCGCTGGGTGCCCATCCATGGGTACCTAGCCTCCAGCTAGTGCGTAAGGCAGCGACTAGTCCTGCTGGTCGCATCATCCATTAGTTTGATTATACTGTGTTAACAAACTAGAGACGAAACAGTAATCTTAACAGTCATTTCGAATGTGATTTGCCAAGAATGCTCTCCCCTTTATGTAACACGCTGGCGCGCATTAATAGTAAAAGTGGCAGGTCATTCACATGTGCGACAAGTGACATTTTATTTATTATAGATACTTACATACTTTAATTCCTTGCTATTGCCATTAATATGTGAGCCGTTCCGAACTCAAGTCTCCAAAAACTCAGCAAATTGCGTCAACAGCCTTTTTTTCGGACTCTGATGAAAGTCATAGGCTTGTGATTTTTCTTTCAATCCTATAATCTCACCTTGAAGGCCATGTGCTCCAGAAAGTGTGCCACTCCATTAGTTTTCTCTGTTTCGTATCGGCTTCCAGCATCTATCCAAATACCGACTGTAGCCGTTGGGGCACCAGTATCTTCTGAGGCTACTCGCACTGCGTTCGACAGGGTCGTCACCCGAGTTTCGGGCACATTGAGCAACGACTGGGAAAACGTTGTACGCGTCAGATGGGTCAGCTGGCGTCTGTGGTTTTGCAGGGCCGTATGATGACGCGAGCCTGCTCGAAGGAGTGCTGTGAAGAAAGGCATTTTCCTGTCCGATTCACACCAGCCGGACAACTGCCAAGTATTGATGGGATGCACGGGGGAACCGCACCAGCACACACGACTATTTCGCACCCTGACCTGAAATTGCGATCAGCAGAAACCTGACTTTGCAGTGCCCTCACACGAATGTAAACATATAACCGATGTCGTCTGCTCAGAGATGAAAGCCGTTGTTGAGGGTCTGTTGCTGTCGTCTGCTGGTAATATGGAGAGCGGCTGTTTGCGCTGATCAATGAACGTCACGGATGTCTATGAAAGCAAGGCGTAATACGGAATTCTCGCGGTAGCTTACTGACTTAAGGTTGATATCAAATGCATTTAAGATATTAGACGTTCGTATCAGTAAATAGCTCAATTATCGCTTCTGGACAGAATTGCGCATGAGCTTTGTCTGTTTTGTATTTACTCGTTGGTAGTAGGGGAAGGGAGACTGATTTATGCCTACGAGTTGATCTAATAAGTATACGCCTGTAACATGAAAAAAAGTTATAGATTGAAATTTCAATTTTCCTATGCAGTATTATTGCGAAATTGCTCAGTATGATCTGCGGTAACATACTTTCATATTCATCTGAAGCAACGTCCCGCAGCTTCACCAACTCGCTACGTCTCGATTGCATTTGATACCAAAGTAGAAAGAGCAAAGTTACGAGAAAGGGAATACTCATTATATCTATTTCTTGGTATATCCTACAACCGACTAAAGACATAAACACTCACTACTGAAACTATTCCTTCTAAGGACCAACCCACACCTATCATAGTCGCTCAATGGGCCCGTACCCAATTAACAGCCGAATGAGCGGCAGGCCTCCTTTGGCATCAAAGGACGTCGTCTGCTAATCTTGTTCGCACTCCATCTCTACCGTTAACTTAGGTCTGTTCAAATGGATTCACGCGTCTCGTTTACCCACGTTCATCGAATGACGAGCGCTGCTGTCGCAGACGACGACACCGACGAATCCGAGAAAATCTAAATATCGTGTACCACCACTTGCCTCCCTCAAAACAACGTGGGTGCGTGAGTCCAGCCCGGCGCCACCGCCGCCTCCATCATCCGCTCAGTGCTCGTAGCGCTCTCCTGACGCCGACTGTGTCTCCTGCTGCATCCAGTAACGATTTCGCGCTGGGGCCACCGCAGCCCCATCTGTCGTTAGAAGCATCGGCACTGCCTACCTCTCTCCACCTTAGCCACCGCGCCTTGCAGCTCCGCACACAGACACGCATGCTCACTGAATAATAGAGAACGGTTAGCGGGTCGGCTCCTTCCGGCACCGCCGTCCTGTAGACAGGTGCTCCTGCGCCGTGTGTGCGGGCGCGTTTTAAGGTTCGCTCCTGCCGTTGATGCTTCACTACAACTGCTATACGATGAGCCAGCAGCCCAGCTCGCCCAGCAGTCAAAGTGTGCGCGAGCTCCGAAGCAAGCAACTGCAGGCGGTTGTAATTCGAACGATTCGCGCTGCTACGGCTGTTGTGCCACAGCAGAAAGTGTGATAATATCATCAACATCGTAGTATGAATAGTGAGGGCAGCAGTCAACGGTGGTGGTAGTTCCAGTAGGTAAGTAAGTAACTCAAGAGTCGCCAGTGAAGCGCGCGAACTGGAGTAGAGTCAGACAGAGCGGCACTGTTTGTGGCGCTCTAGACACAACAGCAAGCGGCAACAGAAAGCTGAACAACAAAAGCAAACTGCTGCCCACCAATGAACAGGGCGGGCCGCTGACGGGACCGCCGGGGTCTGCCCACGACAAAAGGGCGACAGCGCCTCCATAGAGCAACGGACACGGCCAAATTGAAAGAGACCTTTTCCTCTGTGTGCTACATTTCAACAGCTAGTTGGCTTTTATCACTGTGTATACAACTGCTAATGAGCCAGGTTGAACAACGACAACAGGGATAGATCTGTCCCCTGCACCCCTCCATAGCAGCCGCTTATCTACCGAGCGAATTACTTTGTCTACCGTTGCAGCTGCCTTTTCTTTGCATTGTTCCTGTGCTATGGTTACTGTTGCCAGAGCAGCTCGGCCACGTCGAGTCGCCTGTCTACTCCGCTGTCATCGTGATCGACCATGGCGCTCGACGCTTGATCGTCGCTTCATGGTGACGGCAGCGTCGATAGCAGCGGCGGGAAGGAGTGTGCCAGTAGCTGAAGTCGCTGCTGTCGTAACGGTGGCGAGAGTGGTGAGCTACTGGCAATAGTTGATGCTCGGCAACTGCTCACAGTAGAATATTGCTGGTATGGTCGTCTGCAGCCACAGCTCCAGTGGTGAGTCGTTCGTTGATCGGCAGGTTTGCAGGGCTGCTTTCTGATTTTGCTACCAACCGTACAACGATTTAAAAAAAATCAGCACGAACGTGTTTTACTTTTGTGCCAGTTTCACTGGGGTGGTCCCGGTGTTCGTAGACTCTGCCTGTTCCAGCAAGCATTCGTCGTCGGTGATTGATAAGAATTTATCGATCTACTTTCGACAGGCCAGTCAATCCACGAGTCGCTGGGTTTTCGCTTGTGTGAGTGAGTCAATGCAGTGATGGTCGATGCTGCCTGTTTGTGCCAACAAGTTACCATAGATACAATGTATGTTTATACTAATAATAATTCTAATGACTAGTTAAGTATGCAGCTGTCGGGCTGTCTGCGCTGATGAATCGTCGACCCATCGCACCGAGTGACGGAGCGCCGTCATGAATATACCGGCTTAGTCTATTCAATTCTGTTCCACTAATGTGTGGCAATGACCACTGTTTAATGGGTCCTGCTACTATTTGCTACTAGTGACAGCAGATGTGAGGCTGTGCGGCCGCTAGAGAAAAGCAAAAACAGTACAGTGTGATTTTTCATCGTTTATCAGTCCGTATCTCCGCAGATTCTGTGTATATTCGCACGCATATGTGTACATACGTGCCTGTATATATATTAGATGAACTTATCAAGCTACACTGGACTGGATGCTATAATATATGAACTAGAACAAACCAAGCAACAAGTACCGTACGCGTTTGTGGCAACTGATCGACATTCGCCTGACAGCAACGAACAGCCCCCGGTGTTGGCAGCCAGCCGTATTGAATACTAGTTGTCCCGTCAAGGGGCTCGGTATAAGAACTACACACTAAAAACGTTGCGCCATTGCGAAAGTACTGATTGCCGGTCGCTCTGTGGGCGGTTAATTATAGTTATTAATATTGTTAGTACAACAATTGTTACTATCGCCGCATGATCTACCTTTATGAAAATACCATGCGTCTTTATGGTAGTTTGCTGATGAGTTTGAAAATGTCGTTACAACAATCGTGAAGCAGAATGAAAAAAAGAACGTTACGGGAAAAACTGCTAACGTTTTAAATGTCTGTGCTGCGTTCACTCCTATAACAATTGTCGCTGGCATCGCCATTGGTTTTGCCGTTGCGCGTTGTTAGTTCGTAGAGTTGAATCATCCTGGTCCAATAACAGGACTTTACTGTTCCTGCAGTTGTTCATGTTGATACTGGTAGACGACGTTGGCCACCGTTGCACATTGTCGTGTACTGCCAGATTTTTTTTTATTATTATCATTGTCGTCCGTTGTTTAAAAGGAGCATTGGCGAACGTTAAGCGTTCAATAAATAGCAGTGCGAGATAGCCAGTTAACTCTCGTAAATTTACAAGAACCGACCTGTCGTTGCCGTTCCGTGCGTATTTTGTATGTAAGCTACCATAGCGGCAGATCGTACTGTAAAAGTGAATAAGATTACTGAACTGACTATATGGTTCATTCAAGCACATACAAATTGAGAATTACTGACAAGCTACAGCAGTTCTTTGTTTTTTCGGTAATCACAATTACACGTAAATACGTACACGGTTGCAAATCACAACCAGAAACAGTTTAACAGGAGGCTTAATAGAACACAACAGTTTACCTACAATCTATCCAAGCAAAGCTGTCAGACAATGGTAAATAACAGCACCTCCGCTAGTGTCTTTTCTCACTGTACGCATATATATTAATTGATTCTGTGAGCCAACAGAACACTATAGCGGTTTGGTAAATTGCATGATTCAGAAGGACAGCTGTTCTGGCTATCTACTTCATTGGACTTATCTGTGGGCGTTCGTTAATGCCGGTCGAGAATGTTCCTTCGACGAGGAGCGCCTCTTCTGCGCGTCTCTGCTTGGAAGAGGCCGTAGTCACAACAGGAGGATGCTACGACTAACCTTTTTTTTTTAAGTATTTAAATCAACAGCAATGTCAATGAGGCGAAGTGGAAATTAAATGGACTACTTTAAACGCTTGACGGCGACTCAACAGATGGCGAGTGCTCAACTTCAGGGGCCAATAAGGTGTGAGGGAGGCAAAACTACATACACAGACAATCATTTTTACTCTCGTTGTACGCTCATGCAGTCGTTTGAAGGGAATTCGAAGGAAAGTCGCTAGAATTTCAAATACTGAAAACACTCGAATTACGAGCGTTATTAATGGCGCTTTTGCTGCAAGATAACGGAGATTACAGCGCCCTCTATTGATGTAATGGTCTGAACAAGCGGTGCATTTCTATGACGAGAGTGTGTCAAGTGCTTACGCAAAAACTTCATAAGCAATTTTAGCTCACGCGAAAAAACCTAACCACAATATAAAGTTGTATCATTTCTGTACTAGTAGCCGTATTTGGACCCTTAAGATTTGCATTTGCGAAGATGGCCACTGCTAGTGGGTGTGATGACTACTGCTCTACTTGGATCATCAATGTAGTGTTGTAGCTAATTGCCTGCCAGCACAAATCCTTTCTAGGCAGTTAGCGCAAACAAGACAGGTTAAACTTCCCAACTAACTGTTCAATCAGAACATATAAAAATAAGTGCATAATACAATTAGTTGCTTGTTTAAAGCGGACATGTTCCGTCGTAACAAAATGTGGGTAAACGAATCTTTTCCTCACTACTGCAACTATCGCTATAGCTGTAAGCCTACTCTTACATTTGGCACTTTTTATTAGAAAATATCGCCATCGCATGCCATATTCTTGACATATTGGCTTCCGCAGGGGTGCTGCAAGCTTCTTACTCCTTCGCTTATCTAGTGGTGAACGGGGCTCAGCGGCAGACCCAGCAACCCGCCTACTAGCATTTCAACCAGGAAGCGAACATAGTGAAGGTAACGAAACAGGTCACGAGGACCGTGTAGCATGCCGCGAGACAAATATAGAGCCAAATAAACTATGCCCTTCCCCCCACCTGGCTCATCGCCCCCGACGGGCTACCCTCCGACCGCCCTTACCCTTTTATCCGTTGGACCGCAAGTGTTTCCATGTGTCATTCTGGTCACTACCACTACACTGGTTCTTGTTATTGCCCAGTGCTAACAACCCATCCCACAGCATCCAGAAGCGGTGTGTCTATCCATCGCCTAGCGGATCCGTTGCTACCACTGTGAAACCAGCAAGCGGAGTGGTGGAACTAACGCCCCAACATCAAGTGGAGCACCAGTTATCGTGCGGAATTCGTGGATAAACGAAAGGCGATAGAAATCGCTCATGGTGTATATTCGTTCTGGTTCGGTTCGCTCCTGTTGACGACCTCAGCATAGCCGGCAGCGGCGGCCGCCTGCGCCGACGACGCTAACGCTGGGTAAACGGGCGGAAGGTAAGGCGATGGCTTGCAATTGACACTCACTGTCAGCGGCAACGCAACCCGATAGAAGCAAGGCACAAACAACGGAACACTCCTGAGGGCTCAGTCGTCTACTCAACTGGAGGAATTGTTGCGGCTGATGATTGGGCCGTTCATTACTCGCTAAATTGGAGTTGCTGGCAGAAGACATTACCGCTGGATCAGTTGCTACTATCGTGTGATCTGAGATTCAAGATTATTAAAGAAAGGGTAAAAAAAGTGAGATAGTGGATACGTCGTAGTCGATCTTTTTGGCTCGCTTCTATCGGCGCGTGAATATAGAGAAGATGTTCGAACTTGGTGCGAGGACAGCGGGTCCTTATCATGAAAAGATGGCAGACTTTCAAGTAAATGTTTTGAGTTTTATACTTAGTACTGTCGTATCTTGTATTTTACGAATATTACTGTTAATGTTAAGATAATGAAAACGTTAAAAATCCAAAATTTAAAAAAAAGTAGATGAGATAGATAAATACGATCTTCAGCGTAACATGAGGGAATCTGCCTTTGTTCACATAAACACCTTGTATTGAACAGGCGTAATTAAGAATGAAAAGAAATGAAGCATGTCTCCTGCAAATATTTTTGATTTTACGGCCTGTGTTTCGGACACGCTCTTACCTATATATATATATATATATATATATATATATATATATATATAGGCATGCGTACATATAATGCAGGCATTTTTTACATATACAGGCAATTTCTGGAAGCAGCGGTTCTGGTGAATCTAGCGGTCGCTTGTTATTATTCGTTGAAAAGAAACAGGACACAACAGAGCTGAGATCTGTTTCCCTCGAGGCCTGATCAAAGGTGTAAACCCAGGTGAATATGCGCCTACGACTCTTTGCTCGGTGGAAAAATCACGAAGCAAAAAAACACCAGCCTAAAGCTAGGAACAACAAAATCCCGCAGGCGCAATGTTCAACCAGAATCATCAAATGAGTAGGTAGACCGTGGCATGAAAAGCAGCAAAATCCAATCGTTAGCAAACGACTAGAGGATATAGTGGGACAGCGGTCACTATTTGGAAAACAATGCAGCGACTATGAAAAAAGATAATGTCAAACCGCTGCGTGACAAGGGAAAGCTAACGAACGTACAACCTTGAATGCGTTAAGATCGTGAGCCACAAACGACGTAACAAGGCCCGGCTGAGAAACAATGGTAGCTGCAACAGTGATAACGGGGATAGAGGAGCCAGATAAGAGCATACAGGATTGCCCCAGTCATGTCCTCGAATATATTTTTTTTACCATCCCCCACTGCCGCTTCCATTACCGCTGACCAATACAAGACGTACAACAAGAGAATAGAAGATAGATACTGGCCCTATTTCGTCCGATCTGCCAGTTTACGGTGTACTATTTACGGTAGGCCATTAACAGCTTCTTATTCTACCAAAGAAACGAAACGAGGGGTGAAGAATTAGTACCGTCGTCAATCGGTACAAAGTAGAAAGCAGCAGTAACCGTAGCGTCGGAAACCAGTGTTCCTATTCAACATAACATCGCAGTTTTTTTTTCGTCAACGTAGTTCGCCCGCCGTAGTCACTACATATGGCAGTGGTAACCAGTTGTTGACACTGCTGTGTTTTCACTCTGTGGGTTTCGCTATCTCCAATACGACCGTAACACCCATAGCATATACCCTATAGTGTATTGTTGGCTCTGACAGCAGCATCTTTTATTAACGACGTAATACCATTACACTCCCAATTTCCCCCTCCACACACAGATACCCTAGAAAGACACGTTAATACGCTTTCCGTTCTCATTTTTCTAACGTGCTCTCACCCTCTTTGGCATATCTCTAATTAATCTTAGTAAAAATAATAATTATTATTATAGCACACAGTTCATCACCATGAACACGCTCCACCACCACAGAATCGGTAGATTCGGTGAATATAGAGGGAGTTTAAGAGAGAGAAGTATATCGAAATTATGGTAGGAAAATAGAGCATATTGAAGTTAACCTGAAAGGAGACACCGGGCAGCCATTGGCACGAGTCGCTACTGGTGGCGCCGCTGTCGCCGCCACCTCCGGACGCCGCATGCACAAAGCTAATGTACCTGTTTGCGACTGTGTGTTCATATTTCTCTTCTTAACGTATAGCGTCCTTTCTCAAGTGTACGTGTAATATATGCAGCTCAATAGAACATTCGAACTAGACCAGCGTTCGTCGTTACCAAGAGTAAGCAGACACGCGCCGACACTCATCGTGGGCGAGTCGCCGTCGTCTTGAGTCGGCACGAACGTGACTGTCCGTCTATGGACTGCATAAATGCGTTGGCCGTGTTGCGCAGCGAAAGTGTAGTACCTCTTAAACCAACAGCGGGAGCAGCAGAAGCAGCGTTAGACGACAGGGTTAGAGAAGGAAGCATACGGACGACGCAGCTGCTTTGTCACGAATGTGGCAGAGAGGGAGCATCATCCTAGATTGTTCTCGCTCGCAATGGAATGGCGGTTACTGGCGCTGGCTGGCCCCTGTGTCTGGGTAACTGCCTGGTTAGCTGAGCTGAGTTGACTGGTATGATGTCGCTGCTGGCCCCGTAGATAGACATATCTCTGTCACTATTCTAGTGTAGCCGGCCAAATAAAGATCGTGGCTACTGTCTCGACGCTGTTCCATCAACAGCAGGAGCATCGACGCTGCCAGCTACTTTCGGCACAGCTGAACATGTACGTGCACAACAACGTAGACATCCACTCAGCGGATCTCATCTACGAGTCGCTGTAGCACTACTATTTAAGCTTTAACTGTTAAACATAAGGTCGACTACCAGGCGTGTCTACGTGTGCCTGAGCGATCAACTTTTGCCTATTCCTTGACCTCAAAATGATGAAATGCTCATTGTACAGCAGCTTCTAGTCGTCCTTATCTTTTGAACCAACTCGCACTTTCAAAACAACAACGATACGACACAGGGAGTACCGACAAAAATTCATGGTAACGATTTACCAGGACAGGTTGTTACAATTGACGGCAATCCTCCTTGTGGTACTACTAGTATTACTGTAACATTACTATGGTCGCGTTGATAATTGATTCAGTGACTCTTGGTAGTTTGCTTTGTTGAATCGTTCGTTCATTGCGGGATCCTATCCAACATTCAACGACCTCGTTTGTCCGTAGGTTGAGGGGCTGTGAGCACAAGTACGAGTGGATAGATGCTAAAGCTGTTGTGTTTGACGGGGCGGTAATGAGAAGGGTCAATGGGGCATAAATGGTACTCTGTTATTTACGAGGAGCGCTTTTTTCATATACATTAATTATCGATTCAAACAAAATCGTTTTCATTTAATTATATTCTACTGTTTTGTGTCTCAATGTTATTTTTAGTCAGTCGCTCAGCCAGCGACAGCCAATGTGCATCAACTGTATGTGAACTGTGAGAGGACGAAGTGAAGTTCACGAATCCTTCGCGACATCGGCGTCCTTTCATCCACCTCGTGCTTTCATCGTTGGAGAGACGTTCACGCCTCTTTCGTCTTCTCCATCTCCACCATCACCAGCAACCTTTGCCAACGCAGATTCGTCTATCTATTGTGCTTTTGACGTGCGTATAGATTATCACCTGTCGATGTTCGTCTGCGTGTCTACAGGAGGACCCACCTACCATTATTACCTTCTTTTGGCACTGTCTCGATCGCCCGTATTTGTAACGGCCGTATTTGGTTAGAATAGCACCTGGATAGTGCTAGCAGACGCGTCGCGATCGTACGAGTGGCTAGAAAACATAGTTTCCTACGACGATAATTGCTTGCAACTGTCGGACGCTGTAGTGCATTTCTCGACTGGTTACACAGCTCCTGTTAACCGCCTGCGCCAGCCACGTTCTACAGTAGAGCGCTAAACTGTTGTTAATTTGGCGTCGACGTCGCTGGCCTCTCGACGTCTATAGTGAACAGTATATAGAACAGTCATTCACAGAAGAAACCAGGACGGATTCTGCAGGAGGGTACGTCAAAATAGAGGGCGAGACATAGAACGATCGAGAGGAAAGGTGAGATATTTACGTCGTACATTATCTACGATACGATCTACAGTAGAGATTCTACCTTGTTTCTACAGTGAACGTACGGTGTGCAATCGCGTGTGGATATAAACAAAATAGCGCAAGTCTAACGTGTGTGTGAGGGAGACGACGAAAAAGTAAAAGAAAAGCAGATTTTGCAAGCCACTGATCATCACGATCATCAGCATCATCTCCGCCAATAAAAAAGCCGTTATCGTACGCCAGCCTTCAGTGATACCGTATGTAATGCGCGGTTCGGGTGACAGTGCAAGGAAATATCGTGGAAGGAGACGCTAATAAAAATCGGCTACAATTGTTATTATTATTAGTATTAGCCGGCCAATCAGTTCGAGTATATCAGTATCAAAATATATCCACGTATCCCTTTGTTTCATGTAGTGTAAACGCGGCGAATCATAGAAAACCTCAGTGAAAATGAATCGACACGACGTTCCTCCCGAGCTGACGAACCTGCTCATGGAGTTTACGGTATCAGTGCTCGTCGAAAGGCCGGACGATATCCTCTCGTATGCCGCACGATACTTCACGTGAGTACCTAAAATTGACACTAGTACTAGTCACATTTGCTATTAATAATAATAGTAATAGCGTTCTGATTGACGTCGGCGAGAGATTTCGCTTGGTATCAAGTAACACTCTCCTTAGTTAGACCTTTATGTAGGCATTTGGCTGGCATTTGTTAGACAAAACCGAAAATCCCACTAAAACTATAACCCGCCTCAACTTTTATAGCCGTTTCATCGACGTGTATAAGAGATTCTTCACGAGAAGGGACAGATTTTAAAAGTCCCATTGTTGGACAAACAAATATCACCAGCTGTGTAAAATATATAGGATTAAGGCATCAACAGGACTACTAGACCTAAGAACGTGGAGGTGGTATAGGTTCAAATCTGAGCGTCGACACACAGTTTGTTCTTGTGCTCGGAGTGGCCCTCTTCTTAACCAGTTCCTAACGGCAGTACCGCACGTAGAAATTCAAAAAAGTAGCATCGGTAAATGCGCAAGATGACGCTTCTCGCAAGTGCATATATTTATCTAGCCTGTATATATATATATATATATATATATGTAAAATATCCTACTGCAGTTTAGTATAACGCGATGGTTCCGTTCAGCCATAGCAGCTATGAGGTTGGCTCGTCTGAGGCAATATGTAAAGACAATACCGGGCGTAAAATTTGAAGTATTTATTCAGCTAGAAGCCCGTTGTCTTACACTCATTAATGTCCTGTCAATCGTAGATATGACCATGTCACAATTGTTTATGCTGGTTTTATTGGGCTAGAGTAAAACGCAGGCATCATATTGAAACTATAATATTGGAAACGCTAAACAAAAATTGAATCTATATGTATACAGCGTGTACAGTTGGCGTCAGCGGTTCTTCCTTGATCCATTGCATTCAGGTTGTAATGGAAATGTTATATCTCTGCCATTTGATAGTTCTGGTAGTCGTCTCAATAAGCATTGAAAGGCTAATCTGGATTTGCTTCGTATGTGGGACGGTGCAAAGAAACTGCTTAGGGCTCAATGGAAGTGTTCAGAAAATTTTAATGAACCACTCTGACCTTAGTTGTGAATGAGCCATTTTACGTGAAGGACCGCTATTCTACAAACAGTAACAAACAATTCGGAGAAAATTATCTTAGACACCTAAATACTCGTTTAAACAAAAGGCAAAATAACCTAAAGAAAACACCAAAGACAGAAAACAAATATCTAACTATTTAGCTGCTCTGCTATTTATCTGTCTGTGATTTAACTGACAGGAAAATTAGGGACGTGGTAGTAAATTGGGAAACCAAACAAAGCATGGATTTACTACAAAAGCAAGGGGACTATCACTACTAGAATAATCTCTAGCCAGATTGAGCTGAAGATCAGCTGTACAGCTGAACTGGGCATATTCAATGATTACCGATTTTTGCCACTCGACGGATACAAAGCGACCTCAGGACTTCGATCAGCTTCATTATATATATATATACAACATAATTCTGCATAGAAAATGTTCAGGTGCTACGTCAAAACTATGGAGTTCACTTAGCGTACAAAAATTTGACATCAACTACTGCGAATCTAACAATCGATACTCCATAGAAAAATCGAAACCTTCTTAAACGTACTTGCATTTATATGCAAAGGAAGCCAGAAGATTTAATATAGTACCTTAATCATATATACGTCGCAGTTATTAGTAGCGTCGCGCTTGAGTATGAGAGAGAGAACCGAGTAGTACTCTCTCGGCGTGAAAATACACGTCGATTATTTAGTGTCTCTTATAATTAAGAAGACTCGTTGCTGATGTTCTGAGGATACTGTCGTTATAGATGTTGTAACATGTGAGGATTTTACTTTATAGAAATAATAATGGTTTCGAGAGTGGTATTGCAAAAGAAGAATGATAGGTGGCTAATTCTGATATCCAACGAATGGCCAGAAGTTACATTAAACGGATAATCGAACTAGTACGAATTTACAGAAGCAAGCGTTCCTCACCAAGAAACACAATAAATGTTTGTTTGGTAATGTTAAAAAAAACACAATAAACAAGGAAAAGTGAGCAGTTTTTTTATTCTGGAGACGATAAATGAGGATTAATCAGTTAGTCCTATCAACACCACCAACTAAATCAATATCAACCAAAATGCTAAGATGCTTTACATTAAGTATTGACGCGTCATATTTATTACTTTCTTGTTTATTCACGTTTTTTTTTTATCTCATATCTTGAAGATTTGGTAGGGGCGTCCATGTCATGTATCTTGTCATCATTTCCCTAGCATACTTCTGGCCGTAAATAATTTCTCGCTACACATTACGAATTGAAAATCGTGACGCCTTCTATGCGTGGCGTAGATATACGTGTCTCAACAAATTTTAGCGAAATCTAGATTATGAAAATGTAACGCCTCTACCTCTAAGCATTGTACACGTTTTAGGTCTTATTCGGTGTCGTAGCTACATATGAAGCTTTGTGTGATTCAATTTTATCTATCCTAACCGTTTTTGCTTTTAGCTGAACAATGAACCTTGTCGATTGTGTAGAAAATCGAAATCATTAAAGGATTTTTGGCGTTTTACGATGCGTATTGTCCAACTTTCTCTTCTTGAGTCGTTCATTACAAGAACGCCGTTCAAGACTAATTAATTATGCCAAAGTAACCAGACGGGTAAAAGTCGACCGCCGTCTGCCATTGCAGAGAGTGACCTAGAATATGCGTTTTTAGGCTCGCCATTAACATTGCGAAATTAAAGTGCGCTCGTATCACCGTAAAGTCAACGCAACGATATTCATGGATACAAACGTATATATCCATTTGTAATTGCTATTTAGGCTGCTCATCGAGCTTTGGGGGTTGCCGTAATAGCATTATCAATGGAAAACATTTGCCACTCTGAGGGGAAGCATCTCCTGAATAGAACCTGTTAAAATACGTTTTTTGGCATCACTGTGACGTCTTTGCTTCCAACCTAAATCTCCTCGAAGCGCTGGACTTGTGTGTTGGTATAACTAAATAAACTAATTGCTTATTATTGCACCAACAAGGGATATGGGTATGTAGAAGAATATGTGTCATAATCGTTCGAATCAATGAGACCCAATTTAATACAGTCGTTATTGTTATTACTGACAATACGGAAAGTCACGTGCTTTCCCAATGAAATGCGTTGAAAAAATGATCTACCAGCCAAGTAATCAACGAAATAACATATGCGCTTAAGTTTACGTAGTAGCATCGATGATCTCGACGGCCGAATGCTCCCATACGGCTTCTCAACATAGACGTCGGCCAGGATGATCTTCCTCCCTGGTCGATTTCTTCCATTTATCTGGATGCGAAAGCTGAAAGACACGAGCCGTTTCGCTTTGTCTGTGAACCATTTCTTGCTATTATAGCTATAAAAATGTTGAATGGTTGAGTTTAATTATGAAGTGGATTACGCTCGAACGTATTACTTCTACGGGGAATCTGGAGAGCGTCGCCTTGGGAAAAACGAAAAAGCATTTAGCCAAGAGTGACTGACTTTGTTCAGGCTATTTATCGATAGGCACCGTGACGATACGATGGCCGCTAAAGATCTAGACGTAGCAACGGAAGCAGGCCAACGATTATATTATTATTAGTGCCAGCTGATGTTGTTGTTGTTGAGAAGGCCGCCGGTAAACATTAGGACGTCGTCACCCGAATGTCACTTGAAATGCACTGTACGTTCATAGCTAAATGTGTGTGTTTTTCATCCCTTTTGACGCGTCCTGGCTTCTTTCTGTCCGTCCTCTTTCGCTATAATTCCTGCGGTACCATCCCGCCGTAATTTGATTCGTTATAGTCAACTGATGTATTGGCGTCTTTATGAGAACATATGCTTTTGAGATAAAATAAGTTATGTATTTTGAATTAGACTAGATATAAGTGAATTCAAGTTGCTGAACGACCGCGGTAGAAATGAAAGCGTCATTATCTTGTATCTAATTATAATGCAGATTAGGTACGTGCAAGAATACGCATCTAATTTTGTGAAGGGAACTTATTCTCATTATGATTATAGTATTCGACGTTTCCATCTTTATCCCTGATCGTTGTCGCGTGGGTCGTTTTCAATTTCTAATGACGTCTGCAACTTAGAACAAATAACTTTCTCCGCTCGTTACCGTTACAAGTTGGTCGCTTCGTTGAGCGTTTTTGGTTACCACTAAAAATGCGTGATAGCTACCAGTTCAGACATTGCTCGTGTTCTTCTCTACTACGACACTGCCGAAGTTCGTCAGAGCTTTTTTTTTAATAGGACCTACTTTTCGCTTCCCGGTCTTTCTTCCTAGTACTTTTTTTCGTGCATTTTATTCCACTGATGTGCCATTCCACAAATGACGTTCAATCGACAAGTGTATGTTGTCTGCATTTTTCCTCGTTCTTTCTCCTGGGTTCTCCGTGTCTGCCGGCTGTAATAATAATTACAGCGAAAATGCACCCATAAACGAGTATTGCTCGACTTCCGTACCTAAGCGTAGTCTGGGCAGGCCGAATAGGCGAAGGTTACTTTGAAAAGCTAAACCCGGGCTAGCCAGTTTATGTCGGTAAATAGGGTACAGCAGCAGCACAAGAAGCTCCTGGTTCAAAATTAGCTGCAGGTGAAAAAGATGGCCGATGCAGACTGCTTTAAAAGTAGAGTCTCATCTGTGCAGTCGGCTGCATCCCGGTCGAAGTTTTTGTTGGGAATACGGAGGTTGAATGTTCCTGGCGTGTTTGCTGTTGCCTTTATTGTTGCAAACGACGTTACTAAAATTCAAATTACTTTGTAGTTTTCTCTGTTGGAAGGGGTATTGCAGAATGGGCTCGTGGCACCGTGTCTGAAACAGTCGGCTCACAAGTAAGTTGACAAAGTCCGGGTCAGCCACTATGCATTTCTGGCCTGGTATTTTGTCTGATATTACGCAGATTTTGGTGTAGCAATGCTACCGACTACTACTCCATTACTTTTATAGCCCATGTCCCCCTAATACAGAGAAGAGGCCCTGGCAATT